CACTCACCAGATGCTTGGAGACAAGCTCCAGCCTTTACAATGCCTTTTCCGACCGGACTATGTTCTTGATTTTCAACCTGTTGTGCAGATGTCAACATAACTTCAGGACTCAAAGATTCAACATTCTGATCAAAACCATTCTCTTTACTGTTTGTTTGAGTTAAAGATCCGAAGAACTCGAAGAGAAAAGTAACAGCCAAGCTTGATCTATAATCGGGATTTGAAGTACCCTTATCAGGTACTATCTCATCTTTAAGTAAGCCAATAGCTTCAATCAAAACTTCATCAGATATCACTTTTCCTGTAAGAAAGTCTTCGACTTTCCTCGCCCTGTGTGCGTGTTTGGTCCCATAAGCCCCAAAAACTAACCGGCAATCACTTACAAGAATACCATCAAATGCTTCAATTAAAGAAACTTCAGCTGAGAAAGCCGCATTCATAAAAGGCAATGCATTTTCCAAAGGACGCGGCGATGCTCTGTAAGTTTCAAAGAGCAAACGAGTATCTTCTTCACCAGGAGCCAAGGCGGTATCTTGAGGCTCAAAAGAACAGATTTGAATTCAAGAGGAGGTTGTTGAAGAAAGTCCTCTAGTGTGAAATGTTCTTGAACAGAGCTGCTAGTCATGATCTTAACCGTTGCTCGAGCTGCGAGAAGTATGGTTGTGAGATCAGAAGAAAAATGTTTTCTCTGCGCCATCATGATGTTACCGCCTATCGTTCCAGTGTTCCTCACAAATCTATTTGCAATTTTCTCCATATGACTCGCGATTTTCGCCAACATATAGCCATGTTCTTTCTCTCTTAGAACCTCAATAGCTTTGGATATAGTAACAGCTGCTCCTAACTCAACTCCTTTGCAACTAACTTAACTGACATTCCATTTTCAGCATCTAATAACCCTTGAAGCTATGAGACACTAACCGGTCTAGACTTTCTTGAATCAAGATTCTTGGTTTCGTTCTTCAAGAAGTCCGGAAATGTATTAAATGATGTATGATCATAACATGGCAACTTTCTTAAAATATCTTCTCTGTTATCTCCCTTCTTGCAAAAGGAATTGAATCCAAGATCTTCGATATCCACATCCGTCGAAAAGCTCTTACAAGCGTCCACGAGCGGTCTGTATCCGGTACAACGACATAGATTCCCAGCCACAGCCTTCTCTGCTTCAGCAGCCGTGAGGTTTGAGCAACCTTTGGGAGGAAGAGGTAGAGACTTATCAGCATTCAAAAGAGCTGAAAACATCGAAACACTCATTCCGAGCGTGCAGAAACCGCATTGTGTGGCGTGAAAACCGGCGATCCGCTCGTGGACTGCGTGGAACCCGACTCTGCTGTTCCCGAGACCTTCTGAGGTAGTGATGGAGCAGCCGTCGATGCTACAGAGGAGCGTGAGACACGAGCTGATTGTGAAGTCATCGAATTTGTCGAGCAATGGGTCATGTTTTGAAAGAAGAACAACACACGCACCACAACCACCTGCATGAGAACTAAATTAAGCTATTGTATATGTCCTTGATTAAGAGATTAAACTTTTTACAAAGACTATAGATTTGTATTCAGAAATCCAAAGAATTTATTGTTACTGAATCTACTAAAACTCTTGTTCATACACAAAGAGTATCTCTCAGACAGGAAGATAGAGAAGGTAACTTTGAGTATTTGTAAGATGGGACCTTCGCCACAACCGAGCTTGACGGTCTTGAAAGGAATCTTGTTACGCAAGAAATCGATGAGTGAGGTTGAAGGATCAAATAGAAGAAAACTCGAGCTCGAATTTTTCTCCATTAATGGCGAAAACAAGAGAGGTCTTGCTCTTCATCG